TTTGTGTGGGGGGGGGGGGGAGATTAAAAAAAAAAAACTTTGTCCGATTTACCGACCCTATGCTGAAATTTCATGTTACCAGAAACACAGTACTTTTTTTCCTACGCCTTATCAGTTACCACGACTACCGCCCCCCCCCTCCCCCGAGATGAACGGGCCCCCCTGTGCTCCACTTAGACCACAAGCTATGTAAACACATCAGAGGATGCTGGCTAGGAATCCACGAGAATGTCCCAATCAAGCACAAAACCTTTAAACATGATATCATTGTTTTTGTCAATTCCTTTCACAACAATATTTTATCATCATATCGAAATTCGTCTATGAACATTGAAGATATTAATAACGAGAGTGTTGCTGGATAAAATGTCAGCTGTAACCTGACGTCACATTCGTTTTCTCACATAGTGCCTTGCATTAAAATCAACCAGAGGGATTACGAGCGTGCTGTTTTGGTGAAGAGCAGACTCAAAGATGGGAACACCAGATATTTATAAAACTTTACAATCTTGCTACATTTCCAAAACAATACGAATGGCATCTCCGTCTTTCTAACGGTTTTTGTTTTGTGATCATGATACAAGTCAGAATTGAAGCTTCAACATTGCAGAGGCGTTAGGAACTTGTGCTGTGTTGACACCGAATGCCTGAACTTGAACTCATGTTTTGCCACATCTGCAAGCCAGCCGCATCACGCAGGGAGCTGGTTCAAAATAGCATGCACAAAGTATTCCCAGATATGATCAGCGGAAGTCAGAGAGTTGTTTTTGTTTGTTTTGTTTGTTTTTTTAAACAATGTAGTGTTAATTTGATTGCATTTATGAAATGTCTGCTGGCCACGATCTTGGTGGCCCGGTGCTGGTTGCTCATGGTCAACGCTGGATTTTTTTTTTCTCAATAAATAAACAGAATAATTAACATTCTGGTCAGCACAAGTTGGCATTCAGTGATTTCTATTCAAAAAACACAGAAAATCCATAACATTCATCGGCTATGCTTACGCAACATCAACCAATTGAAAGTGTTGAAAATAGTTTCAGCTTTTATTCAAGCTCTAATAAAGGGGAACTCAAGTAAATGTGCCCCCAACAGTGCAAACACTGTATTCTGATTGATATTGTATTCGTGGAACAAGAATTAAGCAGATTAATCCACCCATTTTCATCCATGTGAGACAGATGACATTTTATCCAGCAACACTCTCTATGGTGGCTCGAAAATGACGTCAAAGTACCCTCGGGCTGGCATTGCAAATGTCATGGCTCGTGTGTTGTCTGTGTTTGGTCATTCCTCTTACCGTAATTTGTTTTGATGGAGGCGGCGTCCAACGTGGTGATGATCTCCTCGGGTAGTCCGGAGAGACTGAAGATGCAATTGTAGCGGTGCCAGTCGGAGGGCGGCACAGCGCCCACATCCAGGCTGACGCTGATCTGGAAGGTTCCATCGTGGTTGGGAAGTAACTGGCCATGCACCACGTGCTCGTGAAGCTGATCGCTGTCATGCGCCCAGAATATGTCCACTTTGTCGGGGTAGAATCCCGTGGCGTGACATGTGACCGGGGCCGATGGCCGTGTCTGCAGCAGAGACATCAGGGGCCGCTCTGAGGAGGTGAGACACAATAAAGTCAATGATTTTGTTTTGGAATTAGGTTGCAACATGAGGGCCGCTGCACACGAACCACTGGGATGAAACTCAACTCGACATTTTATAATCAACATTTAACTGTAGTAAAGTTCAGGGATGATAATGGCTAGTGATGAAAAAAGCGGAAGGGGCGTGGCCTGGACAGGGGCGTGGCCTGGACAGGGCGTGACCACTTACAAAAGTGGCACTAAACATGCTGAAGATGAAGTGTATTCAATTTACACACTATTTGAAAATTGAACAGAAAAAAATCCCAAGATTGTTCACTATTCTTTCAAGTGAAAATGTGTTCAGTTTTGCTTATGCATTCCTGGTGAGCACCAATATGTAACTTCAAATTTGCTGCTCAAAATCAAAACAAAAAAAGGAAACACATTCCCTGCCATATTTAATATTTGTTCATTACTTGTATTAATAAAGTGTTGTGTAAATGTGATAAAATGCTGTTGATTCTTACCTCATACAGTGATAGTGAATTTACTATATATGGGTTATGAATGTATTTTATTATATAAAGTGGATGTCTATTTACAGTATATACAACAATATACAGTTTCATGAGGTAGAATACTTTATTTTCTCTTCATTTTAAGCTTTTTAGCAAGCGCTAAAAGTTTGAGGTCCTCTCCGTCTTTTTCCACTCTCTTTTTAGCCAACTCCTCTTGTTTTTACACATGCTCCAGGCTGTCGAAAAGCGCTTGAGATCGAGTAGTTACTTTTCAGTAGAAATGTCTGTTTTCGGTGTTTCACCGAGGTTGCGTGACTCTGTAAAGCTTTCCATCCTCTCGATCCGTATAGAATGACATCGTCACACACTGTACACAGACACGAGAATGTCCCAATCAAGCACAAAACCTTTAAACATGATATCATTGTTTTTGTCAATTCCTTTCACAACAATATTTTATCATCATATCGAAATTCGTCTATGAACATTGAAGATATTAATAACGAGAGTGTTGCTGGATAAAATGTCAGCTGTAACCTGACGTCACATTCGTTTTCTCACATAGTGCCTTGCATTAAAATCAACCAGAGGGATTACGAGCGTGCTGTTTTGGTGAAGAGCAGACTCAAAGATGGGAACACCAGATATTTATAAAACTTTACAATCTTGCTACATTTCCAAAACAATACAAATGGCATCTCCGTCTTTCTAACGGTTTTTGTTTTGTGATCATGATACAAGTCAGAATTGAAGCTTCAACATTGCAGAGGCGTTAGGAACTTGTGCTGTGTTGACACCGAATGCCTGAACTTGAACTCATGTTTTGCCACATCTGCAAGCCAGCCGCATCACGCAGGGAGCTGGTTCAAAATAGCATGCACAAAGTATTCCCAGATATGATCAGCGGAAGTCAGAGAGTTGTTTTTGTTTGTTTTGTTTGTTTTTTTAAACAATGTAGTGTTAATTTGATTGCATTTATGAAATGTCTGCTGGCCACGATCTTGGTGGCCCGGTGCTGGTGCTCATGGTCAACGCTGAATTTTTTTTTTCAATAAATAAACAGAATAATTAACATTCTGGTCAGCACAAGTTGGCATTCAGTGATTTCTATTCAAAAAACACAGACAATCCATAACATTCATCGGCTATGCTTACGCAACATCAACCAATTGAAAGTGTTGAAAATAGTTTCAGCTTTTATTCAAGCTCTAATAAAGGGGAACTCAAGTAAATGTGCCCCCAACAGTGCAAACACTGTATCCATATGGGTTATGAATGTATTTTATTATATAAAGTGGATGTCTATTTACAGTATATACAACAATATACAGTTTCATGAGGTAGAATACTTTATTTTCTCTTCATTTTAAGCTTTTTAGCAAGCGCTAAAAGTTTGAGGTCCTCTCCGTCTTTTTCCACTCTCTTTTTAGCCAACTCCTCTTGTTTTTACACATGCTCCAGGCTGTCGAAAAGCGCTTGAGATCGAGTAGTTACTTTTCAGTAGAAATGTCTGTTTTCGGTGTTTCACCGAGGTTGCGTGACTCTGTAAAGCTTTCCATCCTCTCGATCCGTATAGAATGACATCGTCACACACTGTACACAGAGCTTTACCAGCGACATCGAGCTTTTTCACGAAATCCGACACAAGCACAATGGTTCCTCTTTACTGTTTCCTACTGGGGACACCGTCAGCTTTCTATCCAACCAGTCCCATCGAAACGTGTTTTTCAGATCCGCATCTATCTGACGCACTTTAGCTTCGTCGCGAGTCTCGATAACATTCGGCATTCGCGAGAAAGGGGTTTAGGAAGGCGAACACGGATTGGTTGTGATTTGCATTTGCCGATATAGCGACCAATCACAACAAGTAAGACATCATACACGTCCAATCGCAGGGCTGTTTACAAGCGGAAGATGGAAAGACTGATCGGGAGAGCTCGTGAAAATTCGACGATAAGGTACCTGACCCCACCTAAAACTTTCTCAACAGATTTAGACGATTCACAAAAATGATCAATTTAAGAAATAAAACGGCGGATTTCCGCGTATCCGCGGAAAATTGCCATCCCTGGCTGTGGGAACACAAATAGCTTCCCTGTGGGACATCCAGCCACGACTTGGGTTCTGTCCTGAGCCTCATGAAATTTCAGCATTGGGTCGGTCGGTCCGACAAAGTTTTTTTTTTTTCCCCATCAAAAATTTAAACAAAACAACCATAAAACACAAAACAAGAAGACATTGAACCCGCCGCTCCGGGGCCAACGCCGCCGCCACCTATTTAGTTTTCTCCCCGCTCCGGACTCGGGGGGCCGGGGCGCGCCGCCGTCCTCCTCCGCCGTCCTCCTCTGCCCTCGCTTTTTTACTCGGCCCGTGGTGTTCATCAAATAGTTCGCTGAATTTTTTCGATACATCAACGGATGCTATTTTCTTAACATTACGGTGCGAGCACGCGACTGTAACACAGAAAACGCGGTTTAAATTGTCGTCGGAAATCGCGGCCGCCGCCATGTTTCAATGTTGACAGACGACAGGGCAAACGACGCACACGCTCAACGTGAATATCGCGAGAGTTTGCACCGATGTAAACCCTCTACATAAAAATGTAAAGGGTTGTTTGAAAAAAATGCCGACCATCAAGTTTTTTTTCGACGTAGAAATTATCGGTCGGTCGGGTTACCGGAAACACAGTACTTTTTTTTTCTACGCCTAAGTGTCTTTTAAATCTATGAATACTTACCCGCGTTCACAGCATTCCACGTCTGGAGATATTTAGAAGTTTGAGTTAAAATAAAAAACACACAAAACAAAAATAAATGAGGATAAAATCCACAGATTTGCTGTGCCAAGGACTCGAGCAACTCACGTGTCCTCTGTAGGATGCTCTTCCCAGATTCCAGTGTCTTGTTCAGGCGATTAGGACATTCCTTGAGCAGGCGTTCCTCCATGAACCCCAGCCAGCGCTCCATTTGGTTCCACTTGCGGCCTGTTTTCTCCAGCTGAGGCTGGAGCCATATCCACTGCCGACGCTCCATGTCCAGAACCAGTGTGGTGTCGCCGTCGTAACTGTGATGGTTGAATCCCAAGACCGTACCGGTCTCGTCGTCGTACTCGCAGCCGTGCAGCACCTGGAACACGTGGACGCCTGACCAGGCACGGCACGGAGATGCACCATTAGCTGGGAGCTTTGGCCGTTCGCGTTACTATTTAGTTTCACCGGGTGGCTCCTCGAGTTATCTGGCCGTGTCATCTTTTTAACCCGTACTCGCATTTAGCTCCTCAAAACATTGAAAGTGACACGGAAGTTGTTCTCATGCCGCCATATTAAGCAGCGTCTCAATTGTGTTAAACGTGCACAGAAGATTGAACATTGAGCCCGGGCTACCTGAAATCAGGGGACCTCTGATGTATCATCTGCGGACGTTTTATTGTTCCTTGATGGTGATGTCAAAATGGACATACAACAGCTGGACCACAACGCAGGACTTCACATTGTATAGTTCAGTTTTTGTCACTCCTTGTTTATTTTGGATTGGATTTGATACAACTTTATTGTCAAATGTGCTGTATGTGTAACATACAGCAGAGATGAAATTTCTTCCCTCTCAACATAAAACAAGAAACAAGAGGAGCCGCTGCGGGTGTCCGCGTCGCCACCAAAAGAAAAGTTAACAAAATTTTAGATACCTTGTTGACTCTGTGTTCTATTTGGGAAATTTGTGGACCACAAAGCGCACCTGATTTAACGCCACAACAGCTAAATTTAGCCATAAAAATCAATACGTAGATATATTGAGGGCTTGCTTTATTGGCCGACGGTCTCTTTCGTTCTGACATTGGTTATTTGCAAAGGAAGATGTCACCCAGAGGGATATTTTAAAACTTTCAATTAACTTCATCACCAGTAAAAGGTTTTTTTCCCCCCCAAACAATGCCGAATACAAGTTACACGGCTATCCTTCCTGAAAAGTCATTGATCACTACATCTGGACTGCACATGCTACTTGACGTCAATGAGACGTGACGTCGTCTGTCGTTTACACACTTGAAAATGCCAGCGTCCGACAAGAGTTCGTTTGCAATAGGAAAATTTGTTTTCAACTACTTGTAACTTGTGTTGATGAAGCTGTTGCTTTAATAAGAATTAAAACAATTACAAATGCTGTGCTAAAGAGTCTAGTGAACTCACTTTTGATTGGTGTGTTCCATTCGGTTGTTTCCGATACGATCATCAGAATTGGTGTAAAATTTTCAACGTTAGAGTGGCAACTCTTTTGTTTATTTTTGGATAAATCTGATTTTATTCAATGTCTACCTCATTATTATTCAAAAACAAGACATTGCTTCAAAAAATGAAAGTGCAGAAAATGCACGTATTGTGATTCAGTTACTATTTTGGTCTGTAACATGTCAGAAAATAGGGGGAAATGTGGATCATTATTTTCCCCAAGTATTTGCATGTGTTTGCAAATGTCTTATATGAATTAAACACAAAAATAATCACTAGTCATGTTTATGTGGAGTCTTGTATTCCAATTTGCATGAACCCAAATAGAATGGAAATACTCATCTCAGGGCAAATCAGAATTTTATTTTGGTTCAAAAGGGGGCATATGCCTGTTGCCAATTCTGCTGGCGTATGAGTGTGAGTATGAAATGTATTATGTAATTTTTAATTTCATTAAGTACAATAACAAGTGGTATAAGGAAAAGAAAAAGACATATTGGTACAGTTACCACTTAACCAGTTTTCAACTGTGGTTCCTCTATCTGAACACTGGGTGGCACCCACGTAAAAACAGAAATGACTTGAAGCAGTTGTTCCCAACATAATAAATACTAATGATGACAGAGGAACTCCTATCTGGCCGTAATGTTCTGGTCGCTATGATAACGTTTGGATAAATACAACAATATGATATGATCTGCATGAAAACTGTGGTGTTTTCGAAACATAACAATAAATACTAATGATGACAGAGGAACTCCTATCTGGCCGTAATGTTCTGGTCGCTATGATAACGTTTAAATGTGCCTTCAAAATAAGATACACCGTAAATACAAAGTGCATGAAAAATATGACTCGCCATCGCCGCGTATTATGCAGAGTGGGCTTGGTGCGTGGGAATCTCCCGGTGAGATAAATCTGTATTTTAAGTAGGACTCCTGATACTGTCCATTAAATGTAGCCTTTTTTTTCTTGAAAGTTGCAGGCTCCTCTTCTGTCTCCTGGCTGGGCCATTTCCCTTTCCCAAAGACGTTTGGTTTTATTTTTTTACTCATTTTTGCTAGCTACTGGGTTTCATTTTAGCGGTAACCTATCACATGACCGAGAAGCGCGCCTTGACTTGCGTCAAGAGTGAAATTTTGTGGACGAATGTAACAGAGGATCCGGTCATTTTTCAAAATTAAATATCTTTCAGATTCCGAAATAAATAAAACGGAAGTAAGGTAAGTTATTTATTCTTTATGTGCGGCCCAGCACCAAATTACCCGCGGGTTGGGGATCACTGTCTTGAAGAACAAGAAATCTGAGGTGACGTCATGTCACAGCGCTCTCTTACACTGTGTGTGAATAAATAGGGAGGTTGGCCAAGATAGCGGCTTGATAAAACGGAGATTCTCATACTCTCAAAACAGATTTACAGGCTATTAAAACTGTGGTATATAGCTAAGGATTCCCAACATCACTCATCCCAAAGGAGACGCTTGATGGAGGATTGGCTGACTCCAAAGTAATGTGCATCTCAGTAATGCAGCAGAGATGTGACGAAGGCATGAATTACTGTTTCAAAGGGCATTTGAGAAAGGAGAGGCTTTACTTTAGTCACTTGCCAAAAATGACAGAATCTAGATTTAACAGCAGCACCAATTTGCCGGTCCAATTTAAAATCACAGTCCAGTATAAGACCCAAGATACGTCACGTGTATGGTGAGAACAAAAACAAAAGCTGTGTTGTTCATAGGAAATGATTTGAACATTATATCCATCCATCCATCCATTTCCGCTTTATCCTCACAAGGGTCGCGGGGCGTGCTGGAGCTTTTCTCAGCTGTAGGCGGGGGACACCCTGAACCGGTTGCCAGCCAATCGCAGGGCACACACAGACAAAAAAAACATCCGCTCTCAGACTCACACCCAGGGACAATTTAGAGTGTTCAATCAGCCTACCATGCAAATTTTTGGAATGCGGAAGGAAACCAGGAGGACCCGGAGAAAACCCACGCAGGCACGGGGAGAACATGCAAACTCCACACAGGAAGGCCAGAGCCGAGATCGAACCTGAGACCTCTGCACTGTGAGGTTGACGCGCTAACCATTGGACTACCGAGCCACCCTTAAACATTATATTTGATAACAAAATGGATAAATGGCCTCCTGGCTCATCAAACGGGGAAAACACTGACTTAACTTCATTTGGGGATACATTTGACCATGACGATACATGGAGTGTAAAATATCCCCAAAATAGAACATTTACGTTGCGTAATAACACTGTGTCAAGCTAATCAAGAATGGACTTTTTGCTGAATTCAGAGAATGTTAACAAAAGCAATACTGAAGTAGACATACCGTATTTTTCGGGGCTATAAGTCACAGTTTTTTTTCATAGTTTGGCCAGGGATGCGATTTATATTCAGGAGCAATTTATGTGTGAAATGATTAACACATGATGCTGTATATTCACGTTGTTTTCATATTAAACCACATGAGGGTGCTCTAGGCTTGTGTTGATACTTTCCACATTGGCGGTAACTGATAAAAAACAACTGACGATGACTATGACGTAAGCGACGTAGAAGAGGAAGCGCTGCATCTTCGACCTCGGGAGTTTGCGGAGTTCTTTAAAAGTGACACCGAGGATGAATATTTCATGGGATTTAGTGCAGGGGTCTCAAACTCAATTTACCTGGGTGAGGCATTACTGAAGTTGAAATGGAGCTCTGTGATAAAACAATTATGCCTGAGGAGGCGAAAGACGCTATCATTCTTCTAAAGAGTAACAAGGCTGTAGGACAGGGGTCCCCAACCGCCAGTCCGCGGACCGGTACCGGTCCGCAAGGCATTTGGTACCGGGCCGCACAGAAAGAACTTGCCTTAATTCCGTTTTATTTATTTCGGAATACGAAAGATGTTTTATTTTGAAAAATTACCGGACTCTCCGTTACATCCGTCTGTGTCACGCTTGACACACGTCAAGCCACGCTTCTCCGTCAC